TCCCCTAGAACAAGCAAATATGCTGTGTTCCTTTCTACACCAATGTGCTTTCCAGAGCAGTATGCAATCAACACTCAAGCCTTGGCTTATGTTGCATTCGTGAATTTAACTTTTTATGAAGTTGTTCAAAGAGCAATTTAATATTATTATTTGGATGAGCTCTCTCAGGCTATGTTTCCACATGGACATCTTTCAACCCTTTGCATTTTGGCTTTCACCAAGGAAGTGGAGATGCAGGTGCTATTTGAAACCAATTTAGAGTGAAATCAAACTGGGGTTCTGATTGTCTTTTTACACCAGTTCCATGCTTTAAATTTCAATGAATTATTCCTGATTTATCCATGAAATGAGAATATTTCTGAAAGCATACATTGCCAGAAATGGCGTTACCCTTTGAGATATCATCAGCCCACAATATTGTACTGCCAGCTCACAAAAAGAAAAAGTTTTAAAATAGAAGCAGAAGCTGTAATTTAGGTTGTCAGAGAAAACCCAAGTTCAGTTTTCATGAAGAACATGAGGTTGCTGTCAGCAAAAGTTGCTGGCTCTAGTGATGGACGGAATACTGAAACTTCTCTCCTGGCCGCTAATGTAAATCAGTTATTTGCAGCATATAATTTATTTTCTGCCTGCACAGGGATGCCAGCAGAGTCCTTTACAACAGAAAGGCCAAGGCAAATCATATCAATTGTGAAAAAGGCTTATTCTAATAAGCCAGGGGAGGTTTAGATTGGATATTAGGAAAAATTTCTTTACTGAGAGGGTGGTCAAACATTGGAACAGGCTGCTCAGGGAGGTGGTGGAGTCATCATCACTGGAAGTGTTCAAAAAACTTGTAGATGTGGCACTTCGGGACACAGTTTAGTGGGCATGGTGGTGTTGGGTTGATGGTTGGATTTGATGATCTTAAAGGTCTTTTCCAACCTTAATGATTATGTGATTCTAATGATATCGTAGAGAAAATGTGTGTGTCTTTCACACATCTACAGGGATAATAGAGAGGAGAATAATCCTCTCTCATGGAAGTTCATCATACCAGTGGCAAGGGATGCCTTGAAGCCCTAACACAAACCCCAATTTTTTTTTTTTTCAGAGTAGAAAAAATAAGATCTAAAATTCCACGTAAGAAAAGATGAAACCTCAGGTACGCACGTTGCTGTAAAGGACGACTATCCTGCCAAACAAAGCAAGAGTCTCAGCAATTCCTGTATTGCTTTTTCTATCTGATTTCACATCAAAAATGTGACACACATTGCTGAAGATCAGCGTAATTTTTGTGTGTGTGTGTATTTGACCTCATACAGGGCTTTTGTGACCCATTTTAGCAAGCATGTGTTCTGTCATCATCATGCCTCATAAAAATATTTAATTTTTTCCACTTCCTAAATACCTTTTTGCAGCTTCAAGGAATAGCATACACTTACACACAAGAAAATCTATCTATGTCAACAAAACATGATTAAGGTTGTAAATATCAAGCATTGAAAAGTCAGAAAATGCCAGAATTGTCTGATCATCCATAATTTAAATCCCTCATGCTTGTGCATTATCATAAAGTTTTTAATTACATGATAGCATATAGTATGTTCCATGACACCCTATTTAGAGGGTCCAGAGGAGCATAGGAGTCCAGCTTTCATTCTTTGTGTAAGGGAGAGCAGTCATTACAGAGTAAATCCTACTTCACATCTGTAAGCTTTAAGCTCAAAAATTAGTTTGGGGCTTGCTCATGCAGTTTGCTAATGTCAAGGGCAGTTTGCAAATGCACAGTGAAGATGGAATATATTGAGATTTTAGTTGTTGAGATCAAATAAATCCCAGTAACAGAAGAGTAGTTTTTGGCACAACATTTTTAGCCAGTCTGACAAAGTTACATAAACAAACCAAAACAGATTTATGTACTGGGAAATGCTGGACAATTTCATTAATCTGTGGTTTCACATGCAAAACATGTATGTACTTGTACGCTATATAGAACGAATTAACACATATCATTACTAATTAACACTTCAAAGCAAAACAAACACAAAGTGAGTGGCACCTAACACTTGAGGAATACTAAGAAAAATTTAAAAATCCCTTAATTTGGACCTCTTTTTTTTCAGGGAAAACATGTGTGGCTTGAAATTTGGGTGTGAATACTGCATGGTGGGAGACCTCTAATAACTTCACTCCCAGGTGAAAAAAAGATATAGAGACATAAAAAAACATGGGCACTAGTGACATCGTCTGTCTTTAGTTACATGACTCCCAGCCTCTAAATTTTCCACTCTCTCTCCCACTTGGAGCTTAAGGGTCTTGTTCTCACATACGGAGCTCCACAAAAGTCCCTCCTGCCCACATCTCATTTCTCATTTTCTCCTTCTGTTACTGCCTGAGTTCTATCCAAATTATTTTCTTAAACGCCTACTGTACATTTTCTCTATCCTTTGCTTCATGTCAATGCTTGCATTCTAAAGAACTGTTCATTTGAATTGTTATCTAAAATAGGCTTTTTCTGCAAGGCCAACAAACCCTAATATGTCAGCTAAATCAACCTTATTTTTTAAGTAACTGGTTCTCTACATGAAAATTATCATCTTTATCCTGATGCATTGCATGCACTGTTTGACTAATGCAGACTATCCCTGACTTGTGTCACACACGTATTTTCACCAGAAAACTGTGAAAAGTAAAAATTATATCATACCTAAGTTAATATCTTAGAATTGTTTTGTGAAGCTTTTCTCCCTTTTTGATTAAATATTTTTTTTCTTTAAAGGAAACTTTATTTTAAAAAGATGGGACTGAAATCACCCCCCTAAAACTGAAGACTGCCAAATTTCACAGCTGCTCCTTATCTCTATGATGGTCTGACCAAAACCTCAGAGCTGACAGCTCTAGGTTCTGCAAAAGTTGGGTTATGAACTTTTATTTCTTAGACATAGATACAAGCAACCAATATGAATCTACTTTAAGCTCAAGGAAAAGAAACAGAATGCTCTTCCTAACCTGCAGAAGTACTAGTGGGAGCACATTTTTATGCTCACGCATATAAGGACAGAGTAGTGTTGTTTCTTTTTTCACACTGCATAGACAATGGGATATAATCTCACTTCTTGCTTCCCACTGCTCACGGGTATTGCTGTCTTCTCACACCCATGGAGGGCAGAACGGGTGGAGATCAGGGTTCTGGTTCCAGCCAACTCCCAATGCATGTTCTGACCCACTTCGTCAGGCACATGCAAGCTCTTCCCTACATGCATCAATTGACAAGGCAACCTGTAAAAATCATGTCCCAGTTCAGAGATTCAAGATTGCAAATAAGTTCTGGGCTTCTTAATATTTTCTCTTACATCTTCAACAATAACTTTTTCCCAAGTCCCCTTCCCAGGTGAGAAATTTGCTTCTTCCCCACTCGTCGTGGTATTTGGCATATTGTGTGCTCAGAAACCTAGCAGCCTCAGAAGCTTCTTTTCTCTTGCTATTCCTTATGAACAGAACGGTGATATATTAGCAGGTGTGAAGGACGAAACATATCTGTAAAGCTCAGATAACTTTTTACTTAGCAAAGCGCTCTTACCTGTCTGCATCCACAGTCACATCATGAACCCCTCTCTGAATGACGTCTCGAGAGGCAGCTAGGTCTGGTATTCGGTTCAGACTTCTCGTATATAGGTTGAGTCCTCCATCTGTCATGTACCTGAAAATAAATATGTGGTCAATCAGTGGGAAATGCAGCCATCTGGCAACTATGTTTCACTCTAAAGTTAATGGACTGTGGAACTCAAATCTTTAAGGTACCGGCAGTCCTGTTAGATGGTAGACTTACACTAAATATTTTCACAAGCACAGGGAGATTAGATATATATCTATTTTCTAGGATCATTTGTTTTTTTCTGTGATGGCTAACCAGCTAACCTGTTTTACTGAAATATATTTAGACTGAAGCCCTCAAGTATCTTAAAAAAAATTAAGTACATTTTAAGTACTACATTTTTGTCAAAGAATAGCACCAGGTGCAAGAACTCCAGTTAAAAAAAGGAAAAAAAAGGAAAAAAAAATCTGTAGCATACATCTAAATGTGAACAGAAATTGAGAATCCAAATCCATAGTCCCTGCTGGGATGCAATTATTCAGCTATGAAAGAGATCCCCACTGAAGCCCTTACAATGACATTTAAGAATCTTTTTCTATCTGTGTTCCTTTTGCGTGAGTCCCACCATTTCACATGATAATGAATGATTAATGAATCAAACAGTGAGTATAGTGCTGCTTACTCACTAGAGAACCATTAAAAGTTTCTGAATTTCAAGCAGCAGCAATCATTTCTGGAATGCCTACCTACAGTTTAGTTATCTCCATGAGAGGTCTCGGTGTTCATAACTGAGTATGAGTACTACCAGAAGCCTGTGCTGTGTTCAAGACCTGTCCATAATTTTCTCAAAGGACCTTTCATTAAACTGTCTTCCCTCTTAGCGTTTTATTTTTTACATTTCTCTCTTGTAGTTTTTGATAACTTTAGTGTAGCAACCTAGTACAGAGTTTGCACAAATTTATTTGTGAAGGGCCAAGTACATGTATGGCACTTAACGTAGAAGTATACCTCTGCAGAAAAAAAATTTGGTATATCTCGATGAACCTACTCGAAGTACATTTACAGACTTACTGAAATAAGTGTAGTCCCAATGCTATGAAGATGACTAAAATGATCTAGTGGAGTTCATTCCCAATTTAAATAATCTTTAACACAAGTTCTCCTCGAGCCATGAAATGGTGTCACTCAAATCCATCTTTCAGTTGAAGCGTGTGTCCAAGCACACAAACATTTAGCTTTAATTACACAGGCTCCCAGGCACAAGCCAAGGCACACACACACCGCTGGTGCTCCAGATGTTCTGTTGGCCCTCTCCTTGCGGTTTCTTCTGGGAGCTGTTTTAATTGAAATCGGCTGTCCCAGAGACCGCGAGGCTAATACAGCAGCCCGGGAGCACGAGCCTCTAGCCCCACGGTTCGGGGTGGGTGAGCTGGTGTAGATTTTGAGAGCAAAGCTGAGGTAGGGTAGCCCTGTGCAACAGCTACGGTTTGAGACGGCATGGTGTCCTGGGTGGCAATCTGGATGAAGGCAACCTCAAGTGCATTAAAACACAAGGGTTTGGTTTGTTTATTTTTAACTAAACTCTAAGGCATTTTATGCACTGGTAAGACTTGGCCTGCAGTTCAGCAAGGGATTTCTGAAACCCTGGTGTCTGGAGTCTGCAGAAGGTAACTTCAGATTTGTTTTCAAAGGTAAATTAACAGTCACACTCACACACTAGATTTATCCTTTTATTAAAGACAAAATGTAGGCTTTTTGACAGACTATTTAGCTAGGGGTGAATTATGCAGTACATTCCAAAGCTCTGGAATTGCATATTAAATTTAGCTGTGGTTTGAATACAATCCAGTCTATATGGATTTTTTCCTCTATAAGTAAGGCCTGAATGGAGAGTCTTAGCAAGTGCAACAGGCCTTCCTCACACTGATTTCTAATTACTGCTGCATTCCTGTCCCCAAGTGTTTAAAGTAATTAAACTGAAAACGGAAGAGGCATAAAGGAGATAAGACTTTATATGCCTCAATGAATCCTGAATTTTCCAAGCTTATTAACTTGTTTTTAACATTAACTGCACCTAAAAATGTTAACTGAGCACATTGCAACTTGCTGTCTATTGAGTCATCCTTATTACAGATGCAAAGAAAAGCCACACAAGATGACTATATTCATTCTCAAATGTGATAAGCTAATTAATACAACTCATCAGGCACTGCAAAGGATTCCCCTATCTTTTTTTTTTAAGTAAATCCATGCATCCATCAAAGGCAACATTTATATTTCCTTTATGATAAAAGGTCTTCAGACATTAAAGTATCACATTTTCCATATGTCTTTTCTCTGTTCTAGCACACATGAATAAGGCATTCTACTTGACAGCGCTAATGCTGTGGACAACCTTGTCAGCAGTGCTCTGTTCACAGGTCACTGAGGCAGTGCAGCAGGGAGATACGGGAATACGCTTTCTTTAGTCATGCCTTTTCTAGAGATCTATCTTCGGATGGTGCTTGAGGTGAGACACTACTCTAGAGAGAGCTTTGATCACAGACTTACATTTGCCCTTAGGAATGTATAATATCCAATTTCATCAGCCATCATTCTCTAATCATAGCTATACTTCAAACTAAAAGATTAGACTGACAACAAGAGTCCTAAATTTATACAGAGCAAAGTAGTGTGTTGTGACATGGCCCTGTGCTATATGGGACTTCTTTTCAATCCAAGGTTACCTCAGCCACCAAGCAGCTTTGAGATGCCAACAACAGCACTGAACAATAATTTAAGGATGAGTAAAACCTTAATATGGCTTTTTTTTTTTTTAATGATCCTTTAGGGGTTCTAACATACATAGGAATGAAGTGACTTATGTTTCAAGACCAATATAAGATTTGTTAAATAGGAAATTGAAACACAGGGAATGCAGAAACCCAAAGTCAATCAATTAATTAAGCAAACAAAAATAAAAATAATTGTCATTCTTCCTCCTGGGTATGCTAAGAAAGTGACTGATCTATTCTTTTAGGAAAAGATACTCCTACAGCTCAGATGATATGCACAGTTGAAAAATTGCAATAAATGCCTATCAGACAGATTACACTAGACAATATCTGAAGTGGAAACAGAGAAAGTCAGTGCTGTCAGCAAGTGCTTTTCATCAGCTGCATCCGATATTATATCTACCATCTCAAATAGAAAAATGCCAAAAGAAGACCCATCCCAGGGTAAGGAGTGCAAAATGATGGTTAACCAGATAACTAAGAAATTACAGTTAGAAATACCTGTGCTCTTAATCAAAGTTCACAGCAAAGTCATCTTGACGCTAAAGGAGAAAAACTGAATTTGAAGGCAGCTAAGAACATCACTTAGGGGCATCACTTAGGCAGTTTAGGAGCTTGGGTTTTGGGGTTTTTTTATATGCATATTTTTATGTAGCAACCATAATGCAACTTCCATTTGTGTGCCAATATTTCTAAGAAAAATCCTATCAAACCTGCCAATCATGCAGTAGTTCAAACGGGGGAAAAGGGCTACTTACCCACTATTGATGTCATCAGTTCTGAGGCTTTTCCCAAGAATGTCCCCATCGCTCATGTAACCACCAACGTCAACTTCAGAGGACATGTCCAAATCGCCACTTCCCTTCTCACTCATGTCGATCTGTGAGATATTTCCAAGGCGAGAAACAGCTGCTCGGCGAAGCGGCGTGGTGTACATGAATCGAGAAGGGTCTGTGTGTATGAAGCGACTCGCGCTGCTGCGAGGATAACCAGCACCCAAGGACGGGGCATCTCCTGCCTGCAGCCGAGGGCTGGCCTGCCCTAGCCTCCAAGTCACCGGGGTGGACCGGCTTGTCAAGCTTGGTATGCTTCTCCCATTCACCTCAGTTGTCACAGTGCTGTCAAAAGTTGTCTCCAATGTGCTGCCAAACAAAATGGAGAAGTTAGTGAACTGTGTTTTCTCTGTTCCTGAGAAACAAGGAAAAGCAAAGGCTGGAAGAATATTTTTCTTAAGTTTGTGTGTGTGTGTGTTTCTCCACGTGCACGCATGTGTTTGTGTATATAATAGCCTGTACTTATAAAATAACAAAAAAAAAATTATAGGTTTTTAAGTAGATGTATATGAAACAATAACCGTCTTCGTGAATGATTGTATAAGACACTTTGACAGTAAAGTATATTAAAGTCACATTTAAGTTGTTGAGTCAGTCTAGCAAACAATATGGTTAGTGTCATAGTTAATTTTCCCCTGCAAGTCCCGAACTCTCCTAATTTTTTAGTCCAAATTTTTAGCAGTCTGAATAAAACCAGTATACCTGTGGCTTATCTGGGTCCCTCTAAGGCTGGACATAGTTTCCTCCAAATTCTGTCTCAGGTCTGCTATGTTCTTTACAGTTCTCATTCTTCTTGTTTCAGGGTCTTCCCCTGGAAGAAAACAGCAAAACCAGCATAAATTTTAGCACACATGAGTGTATAAGGTTGAATAAAGTGCACACGTGTATACACAGCTGAGAATACACACATATGATTGTAAATGGGTCTGTCCCTTTAATCTTTTAAAAAATAAAACCCCATCCTTTCAGTAATAAAACACACATACGCTTATAAATAGCATGTGGTATGTAAAAAATCCATTGAAAAGAGTCCTGGTGAAGTATCCCCGTTAGGGCCTAAATCTATTAATGAAACTCAGATTTACAGTGTTGGGATTTTTATCCTCCATAATCAAGCCACGATGCAGCCCCAGACCACTTGATACATTACACAGCCCCTTTTTCCTCCTTGACATTTTACATGACATAGTAGGAAATAAAGCCACAGTAAATCTGTGTCTGGAAAGAATTGGGATGATTGTTACAACTCTTCAGTATGCACTTAACATCCAGGCTATTTCAAAGTACTCTTTAAGTCAGGCACTTAATAAAGCATCTTTCCTGAAGTGTAATGGTTTCCTGAAGGGGGAGTTTATTTTTCATATGGGATAAAAAAATATTCTTCTTGGGATAAAAATCTGAACACTCTAAGCACATGTGTTGTTTATATAATTATGGACTTTAACAACCTTCAGGGATCCATTGCGAAAAGCTAGTCTGGTATCTTGAATAGTGAAGCCTGCAGAACTTCACCTGGAACATCCTGAATAATGTTTACTTCACATGATTAAAAAAAAAAAAAAAAGGAAGGAAAAAAAATTATACATTATGTGTTACAAAAGGAAAACACAATAAGCCTCAAAGCAATCTCCAAAAGTCATATATATAGAAACAAAAATGTATGTTTTCTAGTACATCCATATATCAAGGAATTTTAGTTAATTTCTGTTTTGGAGAACAAGAGAATTTCAAAAGAAAATCCGTGACAAAGATCACCAATTTGTTTAAGACTGGTGTTCAGTTTCTGGCTGTGTCCTATACCTGTTTCTTCAAAGAAGGTTGGCAAGAAACATCATTATTATAGTTACGTATATGCTGAATGGGAAGCACAAATAATTGCTTTTTGATTCTATCGATGATAAATTTCATATCATACCTCACTTTGTTAATTTTACTCCTCGTTCTGGAAATGTAATAATCAAGAATGATATTGTGCAACTATTAAAATTATCTCTAATATTTAGCTCTGGATTTCAGCATTCTCATCCCGAACAGTCTTTTAATCTAATTTTTGAATCCTCATGACATTAAGAAACTGTTTCATCTTTGAATATGTCTAAGAGGAGATAGTCTGGTGAATTTAAACTTAACATCATACAAAAATCAAGATCAGAAATGCAAGCAGAGACAAAATACCATCTAGCACTATGATATTTCATAATTGTAAAATATACAGGCTGATACACATCTTCAAGTTGCTGTAGTTCTCATTCTGTTGCCACCTTTATTCCTCCCAGGTTTGTGTGTGAGTTTATAAGAGATATAAATCCAACAATGGTGATGTCTCTGAGGAAAAGCATGGTGTGCCATCTAAGTGCAAAACCAGGAAGGAGATGTTTGGGAAGGAGGGAAAAGAAAAAAAATTTTACCCTTTGCAGAGTAGATAAAATGGAAAAAAAAGAAGGCGGAGAGCTTAATGTAGAGCTTGCAAGAAAAGTTACATGGGACAGAGAACTGGGAAATACTCAACATGGGGCCAGAAGCAATGAAAAATTTATATTTAACAAAATATCCTGGAAAAGTAAAGGAAAAAAAAGTCCTACACGAAAAAATTCTGGTGAGGTAGAAAGATCTCAACACTACATCTGTTTGAAGGCATAGGACAAAGGTTGACTTGCAACAGAACTACAAGTATGGGTTTAACGTTGGTTTACAAGAAGCATTGGGTTAACATATACAGTGACATCTATTTCAAATATAAGGGAAAATCTGCACAAGCAAACTATATTTGAACAGTGGTTCACTTAATCGCCTTCATTTTGAGTTTTGACTAAAAGATGAAGCCTTTGAGCTCATTGACAAACTGAATTGCCAGTGTACCCTCTTCTGCAGTCCAGGTCCTATTGCCCAAACACTCCGCAAGGCAGTTAAGAAAAATCCCACTCCTGACATTAAATGGAAATAAATTATTCCATATACATTTCATATACCCTTTGTTTCTTCCCTGACAGACAAATAATGCATTGTGCTAGCCAATGTACCCACCAGTTGTGGCTCAATGTCAAACCAGCTTTGACAGCAGTGCCGGTTTGAGGTTTTCCCATCTACTCTGCCCTGGTTATGTCTTCTGCTGCCTTTGCTGCAGCCAAACAGTCCTTCAGGAACCGCTGTTTGTTTATTTTATCGGTCCAAATAAATTCTGCAGTGGTTTAATGATCCAACAGTCCCTAAACCTCTGGGTTGGGACCAGAGAACTGACAGTGGGGTCAACATCCAGACAGGGTGGAGACAACAAGTGGGGATACAGGCCCAGCACTGTTGTCAAACTCTCCATCTTCTCAAGCCACACCCCGAGGGCTTGTCCATTCACAAAATTTTGCTCCATAAAATAAACTACCTGTGTGCATTTTTACATGTAATACCTTGCAGGACACAAATGTTCACACTCAAATCAAAATTACCACAACTGTGTTTCAAGCTAGACGTGTTCAATCAAGCACCTTGCTGATCAATGTACCCATGGATCCCACGTACTATTTGCAGAGTTTTCTGCACCATCCTGAAGATTCCCGTGAAGCAAAAAGGCTCATGCCAAGGCAAAGCTGGACAACATTAAGTCCTGCTAGATTGAACCTGCAGTTGAAAGCCCAGGCAGTCCCCAGGCAGACTGTCCACACCTGCCTCCAGGGCACTCGGTTCCTCACTGTCGCTGTCCTTTGCTTTTTCCCCTCCACCAAACGCACTCAGATTTGCTTCCAGGATCACATTATATTCCTGCCACAATACCTATATGGAAGAGACCCAGAACCTGTTGCCTGTCCTGCCTCAAACCAGGGGTGAAACAGTAGCTTGTTGGTATAAGAAAAATTTCTGTTATACAGAGAAGGACAAGTTCCAGAGTATAAGCAGGCAGAGTTAAAAGCAAAGTATTATTTTACCCTTATATTTATTTAAGGAACTGAATATAATTCATATCTGCAGTGTCTTTGTCCTTTCCTTCCTTGTTTGTCCTTGTCAGTTGTCCTTTGCTGTATGTTAACACTGCAAATTGTTGCAGTAAAACGACAGCAACTGTCTTTTTTAGTATATATTGTACAGTAAATATTATAACAAAACCTTAATGTATAATTGCAATAAAAAAAATTACATATATATGGAAAACTGACCAAAACCTTAATGTATAATTGCAATAAAAAAAGTACATATATATGGAAAACTGAAAAAATATATTTTCACAGAAAATAATATTTTACTTTCAGTCAAATTATACCATAAAAAGCGGTGTTATTCTATCCTGGAAAGGTGAAAAGCTTGAGGTCAAATCTCTTCTGATATCTCAGTAACACAATGGGCAATTTCAAAGCCTTTCCACCATTTTTTTCTAAAAAAGGTACAACTTCAAAAATACTTATGCATTTTAAAATACTGATCTTAAAATACTACGTAGTGCTACATACAAAATCCTTGCAACTGTAACTAAAATAATTGTTCTTTTTTTCCCCGTCCCTCTCTCAAGGCCATCTCAATGGACTCATGCTGTACCACAGATGAACAAGACAGAAAGTATAAACAGCTGAACATGATCCTTGAGGAATTTTATGTGCTGAGTGTAGGATCCTCAGACCTAACTTGCATCTGACATTACCAACATTTTCAGGACAGCACTGTGGCTCCCCATCTCTGCATCAAACCTCCTTCCGTATGGAGGGCCATAGGGATGGTGAACATGTGTTTCTTTCTGAAAGCTAGCTACATCGTGCCTGCTAGAAGAGACACCATGGTGCTTGATGCGGTGGGACTGGGACACACGGTATGCGTGGTGGCCCGGACTCCCCCAGGCACCTTGTTTCTTATTACTATGGCCCACTGCCATCATAGAGTCTATCCATATCTGCATGACCTAACATATCAGAAATGCTCCCTGGCTTGTTATCTCAAGTGATTCTGGCTTTTAAGCCGAAGAAAAGCCGTTCTAACTCATATGTGGAGAGACTGGGATAAGCAAGACTAAAATCAGACTATGCGGCAACTTTCTGTCAAAACTCTGTTCCTCTTATAAGAAAGTCTGATGTAAATATTTTACTGACCCCATGAAATATAATCTGCTCAAATGTTAATTGTGTTAAACGTGAATATTCCAAAAGATTGTCCCCAAATTTTTGCCTATGAGCAGTGAACCATTACAGGTTCCCTCAATAAATGTGTAGAGAACACATTAATTTCTTCCATTGTGTGAGATATGTACACAGGAGATCAAAATAAACATTCTACAGAAATCACCAATCACCTAGCTTAAACTTTTACATTCACATTTCTGAAGCTCACCCATAATTGCACATTTAATGATACTGTTCATAATCATTTCATTACTTCTGCACGTGTAATTACAGCCCAAAGCAGATAAAAGAGAGAATAATAATTCCATTAATTGTCTGATTTTTCATAAAAGGATTTACAAATACTAAGCAACTCCCCAGAGAATTTCCCGCTCTTAGATATTAACTCCATTCACAAAGGAAAGGACCAATTTTACTCTGCAGGTGGGGAAACTGAGGCTCACAAGAGGAAAGGGATTTACTGAGTGACACGCAGCTGAAGAGGAGCAGAGGCAGGAGGAGAGCTCAGTTTCCTCTGCTAACAAGCCTCTAATCTGTAGGAGAAGCCCCTTTGTGCATACTGGTATAGCCTAACAACAAAAAGGTATGCATAAAAAGAGAATTTCTGTTGCTGTTATTTTGAGATGATAGCTTTTTACATTACGTACACAGCAAAATTTTTATCCTGAATGTTTAAACACAATCAGGGCTAACATATCCACCAGCAAAGAACCTCCAGGCTAGACACATGCTACATAACCTTGGAAAAGCAAGCAGCCGCTTCAACCCTTTGACTGGCTGAAGAACAAAGCTTTGGAAATGAACACTTTGAGCACTCTTATAAAGGGCTGAGACATGAAAAGTAAAGCCAGTAACACAGAAGCCTTTTGAAGCACCTATGGCTGCGGACTTCAAATGCTCACTGCCATGCACTGATATAACTAAACTGGTTATTTAAACTCAACTGAAACCCTCGCACTTGCAATTCCACGTATATGGATGAAATTATCCGCGGGGGCGAAGGGGGAAGCAATACTGGAGGGACAGTTTGTAGGTAGGCCGAGACGTCTATCTAAACCAAAGCTCGGATACAAGATTTCAATTTTAAATTCCTGAGAACAAATTTCATTAAAATTAAATTATTTATGAGTAAACTAATAACACTTAAATGTCTCACCTTATTTTTTCAAACACCTAAGCAAACTATGCTCAGTTATTCACAGGCTGTTACTACTCATGCACCCATTAAAAGTGATTTGGGCATTTGTCTTCATTTCATACAGTCTTTAGAGGTAAGAGTAAGCAAACAAGGAAGAAATGTCTAGATCCTATTTTTACATACTACTGCAAATAAACCCAGTTCTGTCTTGTGGAATCACTGTCAAGATCAAAAACCTGCTTCATGCAGATATGTGTTAACACTTGGGTCTCCTCCTGCCCTTCCTGATGTCAAGCCAAAGTTAACTTACCTAAAATATCAGTATAAAGGACCTGTTCTAGGTCCCCCAGCATCGTTATTATGACGTCTTCATCCAGATGCGCGGTCCCTTCACGCAAGCAGCCTTCCTCCTCCTCCTCTGCCCAGTTCCTGCTGGGGAAACGGGACATGCACGATGGATTTCCATCATCTGATTTTCCCCTCTCCTCATTGTCAATCGCAAAGCCTTCACTGGTACACGGGTCTCCCGACCTCCTGGACGTCCTGCTTCCAGCAGGTGGTATCACCTGAAAGGCTTGGGGTGCAGTGAGGCTGGGGTGGCAGAGAGAGTGCACCGATTGCGAGAGTGCCTTGGAAAGGGAGCCTCTGCTCCCAGCTTCTGCCTCCTGCTGACGGTAACTCTGGCTGGACCTGGAGGCGTTTCCAAACCAGTTCTCCCTGTATGAGTATCGCCTCTTCTCCCCTTCGCTGATGAGCGTGAGATTGGTTAGAGACTTCTGCTTCTGAAGACGAACACACCCTCTTCTAACCTCCTTGCCTTTAAACACTGACAGTTCAGCAGATCGCTGCATCTTTTTGGCTGGGGCTTCACCTCAGTTAGATTTCATATTTCTGAGACCGACAGCAGTTCAATTCTCCCGAAAGGTCTGGGAGGTGATGCCTCCAGCACCGCACGCTGCACATCCCAGGTAGCACATACTTGCACTTGCAATGAGAAGCACAGCTCAGATATGCAGCGTACGTACTGTAAATGACTAGACAGGCACAGTCATTTCCTTTAAAATTACGCTGCCGTCTCTGCTAAGCCACTTCTCTCCCGTCGCATTAATCTGCAGTACTTACAGTCATTTTCACTTGGATTTCTCTCAAGCAGAAGAGAGTTGATCAAACACTCTGCTCCAGCACAGAAGTAATCCCAAAAGCCAACTGTGTTTCCCCCTCTCCATCCAATCACCGGTCTCATCGGAGCGGTGGGCCTGCATCTCTCTCTACGGCTGCTGCCTTCTGAAATCCAAAGTAGGCACAAGTGCTGTCTCGGGCTTTCCGCCCCCCTCTCACCAGATCATGACTGATCCCAGTGCACGGCTCTTCACTTTCGATGGGCTGACAGAGAACTGCAAGTACAGCCTCCACGTCAGAGCTCAATAAAGAGCCAAAATTAACCGCTGAAGCAAAGCTCTGCACAAGCCTCCTTAAATTTTAGTATTCAACCTGCATTCCCAGATATACGACTCTTCTCTGCTACTGCAGTGAATGCTGCTGGCTGCCATGGCAGCAAACATCCTGGTGAATAAAACCGGAGACACAGAAGCCTCTGCCCAGTTTACGGTGCCACAGGTTTCAAGACACAGCTTCACCTGAATGGGATGCTACAGTAACAGACCTAGCTCACAGCCAAATCCTATTTTTCTCCCCGAAAGGTAAGGATGACAAACTGTTTCTTCCAAATGACTGCTACTCCCTGTGCAGGAAGCTAAAAGCAGATTTGCAAATGGACCTTCAGGCTTGCAATTTCTGCTCTAAATTTTAAAAAAATAAATAAATGAGGTCATAAAGAAGCTAAAAAATGGAACACAACAGTACCTACCCAGTCAGGATTATCAAAGGAAATATTTAATTTCTTTCTCCTTAAAGTATACCTGTTTGCATCTCTCTGAGATTCAGAGGTTAGTATGGAATTAAAAATCTGTAATAAAATCATTGTTTCACAATCTTCTGAAGAAAACCTGTTAACGGAATACTAATTTTTTTTATAAAGCAAATCAATATCATGTCTGAACTAAGTTCACCAGTTCTAAATGTTGTTTTTAAACACATTATCAAGAGAGAAAGAAGAATGGAATTTAAATATATACCTTTTCTCACAGGGAAAAAGATATTAGTCCCAGAAATAATAGAGATATGGACAAAGAACTAGCTGAGTTACATTCTATTTTTTTAGATACAATTTTTCATCTAGGGGCAATTAATTTCATGAAATATTAAATAGAAATCTACAGGTATGAAAATTACTGTATAATAATATACTAGTTTTGTCAGTGTGAAAATACGGTTGACTCAAATCCCTACCTGGGAAATCTTGGCAGGGAAGCAACCTTTAAAAATGCCACCCTAAGAATTACAGACTGTTTGCAGATTTCCTGTATGAATAAATGGGTGTTAACAGAAGCATCAGTGCACTACTTGCGTTTTTTGCTGGCTCAGTTTACAGTTTTTAAAGATATATAAGGAAAAAAAAAATACATGAGAGAAACTTCTTGGAAATTTTAAGGGAAGGGTACATTTTTTTCTAGGTAACGCTCATGAACACAGAACTAACCTAGAAAAAAATCAGCAGTCTCAAGCAATGATGGTTTTCCATTTTAAATCGCGTTCCTAGAAAGACAGGGTCCACAGCAAGAGGAGATACCACTCCCGCTCCCCACCTAGCCCACAAAGTGGAAGAGGAGACAAGAAGAACGCTCTGTCAGCCTGAGTACAAAATCATCCCAAACATTAGGTGCCTGCCA